AGGATTGAAGATAAATCCGAGTTTTATATTTCTCTTAATCTGAATGAAAGAGGAATCAAGTACTAATAATACCAAAGTATTCTTTGAAGTCTTCCTAATGACATCAAGTGTGGCGTCAAAGAATAATGTCAAGTTTCTTGAATTGCTACTTGACAAAAACATTTGTACTCTATTTACAACTATATTCCACTTTTACTTGCCAAGGAGGCCCAATTATGCATCGTCTGTTTGCTCGACAATTTCTTTATTTGGGTTTTTTGAAAGAAAAAGTGCATTTATAGGCTCATAGCAAATGGTGGAAATCAAGGTACAGAAATTGAGTACCGAAAGACATAAGCCAGTTTGGCCAATTGCTCCGTATATGACAACAAAGAGATGACTTTTCCATCAAATCAAATTTAAAAATATCATGAACTACTACATTTGTTTTTTCTCACATATTTTTTTTGGAAGGATGTTCAGCACATTTTTTAAACAGTTGGTTCTTGTTATAAATATGAAGAAGACAGTTGAAAGTGTGTGTGTGTGTGTATTATCATTTCAATTTACGAAGTAATATTTTTTTAGGAAACATGCATGAAGTGCTAGTTGAGTTGCAGGGGATGGGCAGTGGTGGAAAGCTACAGATAGAGGTATGTCAATAGGCTGATCTAATGCTCCACTTGACACATATTGAAGATGCACCCGATTTCTTTTCTCTATAGTCTTCATATATATTCAACCTGTAAATAATTAAGATTCCCCTTATTTTGGAGAATGATTTATAATATACCCCCTCCATCCCCAAATATTTATCATTTTAGCCAAATTTTTGTCCCAAAATAAAATATAATTTTTTTGGAATTCAATGAAAATTTTCAAATAATCTTCCAAAGTTGCCCGCATATACTAGATGGTGCAAGCACGTCAGTTTGTACATTTTGCTTTTCCACGGCTTAAGTGGTCTGATCAAAGTAATGACACTGGAATTTGGAAGGATCAGGCTTCAAATGAAACTGAAGCAATAGGAAAACATAGTGATCATTCAGGAGATTTCGCTGGTCCTTCAGCATTAGATAGATCTGTAAACTATTCAAACCAGTCAGACAGCCATCCAGATCCAGAGTGCTCCCCAAATTGCTCAAACCTTGATGAACATAAATC